CTTCTGAAGGCAACTTCTGTTCCATCGGTTGATCGTTCTCACTGTCAAAAAAAATCTCCTTATTTCTAGGTTGAATTTTTCCTTGATCAATTTCCATCCATTATTCCTTGCATTCAAGTGCCTTGGAAAATAGCTTGACCCCCTTCTCTCTGGGGTAGCCTCTCAAATATTAGAAGGCCACTATCCTGTCTCCCCTGGTACTTCTCTTCCCTAGACTAACTAGGCCAAATTCCAGCAACCATTCATCGTATGTTTCAGCCTCCAGTCCTTTCATCATCTTGTTTGCTCTTTTCTGCACTTTTTCTAGAGCCTCAACCTCCTTTCTATAGTGTGGTGACCACAACTGTAAGGTTGTGACACTGATCAACCTTCTTCCGGCTTACCTGTCGTAGTTTGGCCATGGATTCGCTGGGAATGATTTCGTTGCGATGCAACCGGGTGACGAAGCAAAGAGCTTGGAATTGGCTCTGTCCCCTTTCCAGTTCCCCAAGGATCAGAGCTCGGAATATCTTCACCTCCTACGAGAAATAAAAGACGTTTCTTGATGAGTCTTTTGATTCAGCAGACAAGGGAAGCCGAAGCGCTTTGACTTGTCTCATGGTCTTCCCATCGTGGCGGTTGAGCTGGTGTGAAAATTTGGACCATTATGTGGCATGGAGGAATACCTGGTGGTGAACCTATCCCAGAAACCCATTTACCAATCTTGGCATCTAACGAGAGCCCTAAGAGGAAGCTTGGGAGCTGATTCTCCTTCCTTTTGGGCTTCCTGGCCAAGAGAAGTCTACCTGCAGCTGTTACAGGAAGCAGTTGATAGATGAACAGGACAAGTTACTCTGCTAAATGAAAGAGAGGAAGGGAGGGAAGGGAAAAAGGGTGATGGATAGGAGGAAGGAAGGAAAAAAAGAAAGAAGGAAAGAAGGAAGGGTGATGGATAGGATGAAGGAAGGAAGGGTGAATGATCAATAGGAGGAAGGGAGGGAGGGAGGGAGGAAGGAAGGGAGGCAAAAGGGTGATGGATAGGAGGAAGGAAGGAAAAAGAAAGGAGGAAGGAAGGGTGATGGATAGGAGGAAGGAAGGAAGGGTGAATGATCAATAGGAGGGAGGGAGGGAAAGAGGTGATGGATAGGAGGAAGGAAGGAAGGAAGAAAGAAACAAAGGGTGAATGATCAATAGGAGGAAGAAAGGGATGGAGAGAGGGAAGGAAATGTGATGGATAGGAGGAAGAAAGGAAGGGTGAATGACCAATAGGAAGAAGGGAGGAAGGAAGGAAGGAAGGAAGGAAGGAAGGAAGGAAGGAAGGAAGG